AAACAGCTACGGTCATGATAAACAAGATATTAACGACTTAATTTACTGCAGTCCATACGCTTCGCTGGCTGTGCACGGTGGACTTTAGCGGGCCATAAAGTGCAGGCACGCAACACAAATATAAAAATGTTAAATAAATAAAGCCGGCAATCCACCATCCACAAGCAAAAAAGGCAAAGGCAAATATATTGGTCAAGCAGGCATAATTATGCACAATCAGTCAGGCTGATTGGGCTAATGCGCTGAACTGGCGGTAAAGGCATTATGGAAAAGGCAAGTACGGCCAAAAGGAGTGCTCAAACGGCATATGTTTAACGTTTATTATCGAATTAGTTTGCAGTCAAGCAGGAGACTCTTAATCAGTTTGCATACCGGCAATTGCTTCAACATTCGCTTTTAACTTGCTCTGTTCTGCGTCGATGAACATCACTCTCATGGGAACACAAAATATGTTTCATAAATTAATTTTATTAGTTGAATGCATCTAATGAAGTCCTCGCATATCAGCTTAAGACCAAATTAAATACACCAGATACATATTATAACACATCTTGTTAATTGAATCTGTTAATCTAGACTGTTCTACCGGGTAAAATTCAGGCACTACCTATTACAGACAATTAGCTTGTATAATGAAGAAACCCGAACTGAAGTAAACAATCGAAATTTTTATTGAATCATATAAAATTTCAATCGACAAATGAAAATCATTTACTACCAGTACCAGAATATAAAAATTATTTGGTGTGTCTGATTTCGTAAAATTGCATTTAAAAACAGAATTGGAAATATATTTTTAAGAATCAGATAATTCGACAACTCAGCTACTTTTAAGGTCCGAATCACATTTGTACAGCATTGTAATACCTTCAATTTTTACTTCCACAAAAAACTTCTCTTATGTACATGCTTCATAGTTTTCAGAGTAGCGTGCACAGTTCACTTCTGTCCCCTGCGTGAAATTAAAAACGCTTAACGCGAGTGAAAATTTCTCTGTGCGCTCTTCATGAAAACCACCAATTTTTCAATAAACTGCAATAAATGTTTATCCATTTATATGGTTGATGTTTTTGCCGTTAAAGCCTGCGAGTTCGAAAAAAAAAGTAACAAACAACAACGTTAATGGGGCCTGGTAGTGGAAAACCGTAAGGATCACACATATAGGCACGCACACAAGCAGATGCGTGTGTGTGTGTGTGTGTGTATCTGCGTAGGGCCAATGGGAATGCAAAAGCCAAACCGAACTTTCGCCCTTTAGGTAAATGGACACCTATTTATGTATGTACGTATATACATAATTGTATGTATGTATTAACCAGACGTTAATTGTAATGAGCTGCAAACACTGAAAACCTTTTAGTAATCACAAGCTTATTAATGTTTCTTAGTTGCATATGTATAGTCATAAAGTAAAAGGTTGTGATATAAATAGTAAATCAGCTCGAATTTCTCAGGCCGTTTTAAGCTTTCCCAAAAATTACATTTGTTTTGTGCCTCACGTCTTCGACTTATATCCATTCTAATATGAACTTTTTCAAATAAGATGGTTAAACGTAACCCCTAATTGTCCAGCATATTCTTCATATATATCATATTTCGAACTATTAATGCAATTAGGAAGAAAATAATTTTAAAGCTTAAAGGGTAACCTCCTTTATGAAAGAAAGTAGTTCTCTAGTCGTGAAATGCAATATCTGCTTTAAATAATCTTGGCGCCCACGCTTCCTCCTACTCCAGACTAAGAATGGAAAGCCACATAAGAGAGGCTCTATGGTTTAATAGTTCTCCCAACAGAGCCTGAAACCTTCTGCGAAGGGGCTTCTTTACAAACTGAGCTGAAAGTTAATTAGTTTTCTTTACATAGCCTGCATTTTTTAAGCTACGCTAATGGTTATGCAGCACATCCAATTTCATTCCGTGGCCTCACAGATAGGCCCGCGGCGATTGTGGAAATGGTGCTGCTGGCAGCCTTAATATTAACTCTTGTATTGCCATATGGTGCATTGTGAGGTAGGCTGATTCATGTTTTATATACTATATATGCATCTTATTTTATTGACTGTCTGAAGATCTTAAATTCGAAATTAAGTTACTATTTTCAATCTCGAAAATCTTCAATACACACACACATAGAAGGTACAATCATATTGTATACATGAATATATAACTATATATTATAATACGTCATATATCGAAAATAGAGCAACTTTTTTATAAATAGGAATTTTATTGATTACTTTCCGCGCTTCTAGTCCAACTCGCAGCTTGTGTTTGTCGAAATGGATAAATATATGCTAAAGCACGGTCAATCCATAAGTAATTATATCGTCAAACAATCGATATTAAATAGTTTTGTGAATTGTATTTTCAATAAAAAACCGATCATCATGTCACAGGTTTGACCCTAGACTGAATGGCGGGCCTCCCATAAGTAGTGCAACAACCCAGCATAATGATAGCCTTTCAACACTAACAGACACTATTCACTGTGCATATCCGAGCTAACTTTGACTCCAACATCTGGCCTTTTACTTGATTAGAAATGTAATTAGTCTTTGGCCCACGTGGGGAAATTATAATTGCGCGTTGGCACATACTCGTACTCGTAAGTACGAGTGTATTGAAAGAGAGCATGGGGCGGAAACGCCCCGCTACGAGTGTGTTTTTCAATGTTGAACACACGCCTGTGAGCATATATGGGCCCCCGGGCCAGCTTAACCTCCAGCCCAGAGTAGTCCAGGACACTTCCTGTGCACCGTGCTGAGCCATCCTGAACATTATGAAAGAAATTGTATGTAATTTGAACGCCTTTGCAGTTTTCCTACCAGCAAGAAAATAAAAACGCCCATCTGAGAGGCAAAAAGCCAACGACCTGGGCTGCAGGAAAAAATCGCAGGCTGCTTTAAAGGAGCTCCAACAGGATCTGTACGCTGTATAGCTCGAGCAGGCGGGCGGACGCACAGACAAGTGGACAAACAGACAGCCAAGCCGACGCACATGGACGAAGGCCTGGCGCAAAGCGGTTGTAAAAAAGTGAAGCCCGTTATGTGCTAACATGTGTGTGTCTGTGAGTATTGCCCGCAGCTTAAAAACTTGGGTGTGCATATGTGTTGGCACACATGTTTGTTTGTGTGTCTTCCCGGCACTCCCAGCTTTTAAGTATAATTTTCCGCACATACATACGCACACTGGAGCTCAGGTACAAAACGTTAGACAAAAAGATGCGCACGCCCCCTTAAGTCGATGTTGAGGCGGCTGCAAAGTTGCAGGCCCTGCCTCTGCCTCTGCCCCTTCCCCACTCGGAGTGTGTTTATGTGGGTGTGTTAAGCGTGTAGGTGGAGAAAATTTAATATGATTATGTTGAAGTAAATTGCTTGCAACAAATGTTGCACAAGACAGGGAGGTGACTTTCTGAGGCGAGTGTAGGAAGAGCACGGCAGGGCAATGGCAACATCACTGCCAACACTTTGTCGGCCGATTTGGCCATATTACGGACCGTATACGTTGAGCTTTAAAGAGCATTTTAAAAGCAATTAGGCACAACATGATTTGCCATTTACGCTCCACACACACCCACACATATGGCCGTGTTTTAACATACATACTCGTATAAAGAACTCGCATAAAATGAAAGCACAGCAATTTGTTGGTGCAGCACTTTTATCAGATATCAAATATATATATATGATATATGTGTACTATACTACTATTTGCAAATATCTGGCCGAATTCAAACTGCGTTGACTCTTTCAAAAGCATGCAAAAGTGAAAAATTATTTATTTAGTATTCACAAAATGGCAATGCAAGAGAATGTGGGGGATAGCTTGTAATATCCTGAAATAAATATATTGGCTTTTTTGCTTGCCGACCCTAGCGGTTTTCATGTTCATGACTAACAGATAGTAACACTTTCAACTTTGAGCGAAAATCTTTATGAAATATATAGTATTTACTAACTTTTTTGAAATTATTATATTCAATGTACAACGGGGGCTAGGGCGTAGGCAGAGGGGGGGCTGTTGCACCCCCTCTAAAAAAAGTTGCCTTATAAAGGCGACCACACGATCATTATTATGGCGCACAATTAAAATGGAACTGAGTTGGATTTGTTGAAGTTTTTTCATTGGTCATATGCATACATTATTATTTCAGTGCATCGTGCTTTTTTTAATCAAAATTGAACATTTTGCGGATATCTGTCCGTCTGTACAGGAGCTAGGAAAATCAAACTTGGTATCCAGGTATCAAGTTTTTAATTCTCGAAATTGTTATCACAATGGTAATTACATCTTATGTGTCCTCAATTTAAAATTGATCATGTTAGGTTAAATTTAAAGGGAGTTATAACCATAAGTGTAGTCTCTACCTATGCTCAGCCCGCAGCTGTTGTTGTTGCTGCTGCTTTGGCTCAACTGTACTGCACATACTGATAAACGAATACATAGTAACACTTTGACACAATGTTGCTGTAAGTGTATTCTATTGAAACTGTGAGACTGTAATATATTTTGTATTCTAAATATTTAATTTAACTAAATTAATTTTTTTTAAATAAATAAATAAATATTTACAAGATTTTTTTTGTGTGGGAGTTACAGGGTATTTAAGAGTTGAGCCCACTCGACTTTAGCATTCGTTTCTTGTTTTATCTTATTTTTATAATTTTTTCTGAAACACTTTCTTGTTGCATTCCATCGAATGTCATTAGAACGTCAAATTTCAGTTATAACAAAGTTACCTTTTTTGGTGGAAGGGCTCTTCCCAATCCCAAATAGATGTAGTTTTTATTATGGTTCACATTCTGATTATTTGATTCGTAGATCTTCTCGCGTTATCGGGTCGATTGTGTTAAGCTTTGATTATCGATTCATTGTCGAAGCATAACTGTGCCTGCATGTTAAATTGTGTGCTAGCCGCATTAAAATTCCCAACCAGTGCTAGCAGTTTTGGGAGCACATTCAGAAAAGAAATGTGAAAAGTGACTGGTATTTTATAAATCATGGACAACATACAGCCACCACCACCCTTCCGCGTATTTGGTGATGACGAGCTGTCATCCTCAAGTGAGGAGCGGAACTATTCGTCGAGCCTAACAAGCAGCTTAAGCGACTCATCCTCATCCAGCCATGACACAGATGACGAAGACGAGGAGAGATTCTATTCGTTTGGCAATGAGTACGATGTGAGTATTTCAATAAATGTGATATAGCCTAACTGGAATTTATTACTATGCGTCCAATTATAGATCATTACCAGACCCAACTTGGACCGTTTTGTACAGGAGTGTGACGAGAATGCGGTGCTGGATGATCAAGCCGCCGATCTAATTATGAAACTGGCCGATGCCTTTGTCGAGGATGTCTCAATGCGCGTTGTCAAGCTGGCAAAGTACCGGAATGACGAGCTGTCCGCTCTGGATGTTAAATTCATATTAAAACGAGAGTACAATATCGAGTTTCCCCATAATCCTAATGAGGGCAAAGAATTCAAAAAGTAATAAAAAATAGTTTGTCAGGAAAAATGTTAATTAACTTTTTGGATTTAACCAACTTGTATGAAATTTAATGGGGATGGGTTGGTGGTTTTTTAATAAGCTTAAAGCTAATAATATTAATATGTATGTACTTCTGTCAGCTGAATAGTGGATAACGTTCTCCTTTTCTTTTTTAATAAAAATAGCTGCTGGCACCATTAATCGGTCCAATACAAGTGGGAGTCAAAAATTTGCAGCCGTAATGGTATAGTGTGATTTGTATTCTAGATTTGCCCCATCAGGCTGATCAATATTTATGTATTTCCTGTGACTGTGATATTCCTGGATATCAAATATATAAAGTTGAACGGAAGTTCGCTTCAACAAAATTTTATGGGATTTTCCCTATCACACAATTTGTGAAAAATTATAAATAGTTTTAAATCCGAATAATAACCACGAATGAAAAAAGTAACGATTAACCAGCAACTGCTATTAGTATTATTAATAATAATAATAGCAATTAACATTGTAAAAATATATTTTACCAATACTTAAAAGACGAAATGTCGTTAAAGTTTCGAACGTGATTTGTAGTATTACAGGGTTTGTCATCTACTCGTGATCTTCTATTACTAACTATCCCTATTCCTCCAGTCCCTACACCCCTGTCTATATAAGCGCGAATTGATAAAAATGCTAAAATCGATAAGCTAATAAAATAAGTGCATGGTGTGGAATACTCTCCGAGCTAAGTGTTTTATAAATCTACAGCCATGATGGCCATTAAATATATTGATATGGGGGAAAAAGTATTGTACCATAATTTTCATCCATGAGCACATACAGACACACCCATACATACATATTAAAGTCCCACACCAGTGCTGCTAGTGGCCTCATATCTCATGCATATGAAACCAATATTTGGCTGCGTTTATGGCAAGTCACAAGTGCATGCAAACACACATAGATATGTACTTGTTGTTGTTGTTGTTGTTGCTGTCGTTTCCATAGATATTGTTGCTGTCACAACCTGTGCAATACTCGTAGCTGATATTGCTGTTAAAACACGATAATTGCTGCTGCTGTTGTTATTGTTGTTGCGCTGCGCTGCTGCGAATGCATTGAAGCAGAATATAAGCGCACAAATATTGCACACACACACACACACACACACACACTCACACTCACACACAGATAAGTGTTGAAAATGGCTGCATTAAGTTATTCAATCTGCAGCAGAAGGAAAGCAAATGCGACAGAAACACTGTTGCACATTTCTTCCCATTAATATTAAAATGTAAATTGTTGCTTATTCTTCCTTTGTCTCACATTAAGTTGAAAGTATGGAATATTTTTGCTCAACTATTGTTCTGGAAGTTGTTAGAAAATGAATTTTATTTGTGTAAAAACTATAAATTCTTAGAAAATCACTTTAGGAAAACTGTTAACTAAAACAAATAATTTCAGCATAAATAAAAGATTTAAGAAACAAAGGAAGCTCACACATATATTTGAGTATTTGCAAAAATGATTCAACAAAATTCTAAAACATTTTTAGCAATGACCCAAAAAAACACTCTAGACAAATACTTGACTTAAATCAAGAAATAACAAGAAAGAAATGCTAAAGTCGAGCAGGCTCAATTCTTAAATACCCTGTACCACCCCACAAAAAAATAAATTAAATTAATTTAATTTAATTAATTAATTAATTTTAATTTAATTAAAATGAACAAGAGAGAACGCTACAGTCGAGCAAGCCCGACAGTGTAATACCCTGTACCCAGGTAAACTTCCGTCACTGAGTTATATGCGCCCATAGCAGCAGCAAAAAGAGGAAGAAGAAGAGCGAACTTGTTGCTGCAGTTTGGGGAGGTTGTACTGGCGAGAATTTGTTTGGCTCATAACTTTTCTGAGAATTGACCGAATTAAATAAAATTTTGAACAACAGTAGACAATTATATATAAATTATGTGTGCAAAGTTTGGTTTAGGTAGCATTTGAAATGTGGACGCTATTGACGAAATTCTGTAGCGGGGGAAGGGGGGGAAAATTCCAAAAAAAAAAATAAACTCGTCCTTACTCGGACCTAGGAGAATCTGGATGCCAACTTTGGTTATTCTAGCTTTTATAGTTTCTGAGATCCTCGCGTTCATCCAGACGGACGGACAGACGGACAGACGGACGGACGGACGGACATGTCTAGATCGATTTCTCTCGTCATGCTGATTCAGAATATATATACTTTATGGGGTCGGAGATGCTTCCTTCTGCATGTTACATACTTTGCACAAACCTAATATACCCTTTTTACCCTACGGGTACAGGGTATAAAAATTAACAAACTCATCCTTTCTCGGGCTCACGAGAATCTGTATACCAAGTTTGGTTATTCTAGCTCTTATACTTTCGGAGATCCTTGCGTTCATACAGACGGACGGACGGACGGACATGGCTATATCGACTCGTCTTCTCATCCTGATCAAGAATATATATACTTTGTGGGGTCTGCCACGCTTCCTTCTGCCTGTTACATCCATTCGCACAAAACTAGTATACTCTTTCACCCTTTGGGTACAGGGTATAAAAACTACTTATAAAGGAAAAAAAGCTCAAGCATATATTTATTTCCACACGGTTCAAATAACGCCGCATTTATTAAATAGAAATGTAATAATTAATACCATAGACTTACCTAGAAAGCTGCAAGGCTCATATTTTTTTTGTTTAATGCTCACAAAATGAAAATTCAATTTCTCTGTAACGTAACATTTTGTTTAGATTTCGTATTTATTTTAAATAGTAATTCAGTAAATCAACTAAAAGGCAACTCGTGCTAAAAATGTATGCAAATGACAAACTGAATATAATGAGGTTTTTATAGACTGCAATTCGCAAATTAAACAATAAAACAAAGAAAAACAACAATACGCCGAGATAATTGTAAAAGCAATAAGAATAAATGCGATGGGAGAACAGAAAACCCATCGTTTGACATTAGCATTAGAAGCGGGCATTACACACACAAATATAAAAACACACACCAAACACACACATGGCTAATTAGCATAGACTAACAGGAGCAGCACAAACAGAAAATGTGTTGCAATTTAATTAATACAATATGCATCCAACTTTTTGCCAGCCATACCCACATTCCACTAATTATTAAATGATGCGCACTGTCTGCAATTATGTTGCAACAGTTGCCATTGCCCACCGAGGCAACTCCCACAAATAGCCAATAGCAACAACAGCATGTCAAGCCAATCATATGCATTTCCATCATTGTTGTTGTTGCTGCTGCTGCTGTCGCTGCTGTCAGTCGCCCAACTGCTTGCATTAATTATTAAATTACACATTGCATTTTAATGCCATTAAATTAAAATATTAAACATTTTTACCCAACATTATATTTATACTCTTATTCGAGTACTATGTATGTATATTGCCTTGGCAAAGAGTTTGTCAGTTCAGGGGGCTAGGCTGTGCTGTGCAGGGAAGGGCAAAAAACATTGCCGCCGGTAATTAAAAGCAGCACTTGTTGTTTCCAGCCGCCGATGGCAGTTTGCGGCATTGGCCGCTGCTGTTTGACAAATACCAGAGAATGTTGGTAAATACATATTCCGCACAGAATGCCGGGCCATGTCATGCGAATTGTCGGGTCAACGACAGGCGTCGACAGCGCCGATGGCTGAAAGTGAATAGCATATTCGAGCTCCGTTAAATTTTATTGTAAAATGATATTATGCAAATGGGGGAGTATAGTTGTGCATTGGCAAACATTAGATGCGCTTCAGCTAACAGGTTAGTGCTGGATTCAATTTATTGAATTCTAAACAGTTTATGATGAGTTTGAATGGCGGTTATTAAATTATTTGTTTAACTAGTGTTATAAATTAAACTAGCCCGAGAGTGCTCATAGAATTTTTATCTACATGGCTTTGTTAAGTTGACAACAAAATATATGAGAGTATATATAGATACGTTATATGAAAAAGCTTAAAACAATTTTACTAATTAACAGAGATATCAGACGTAAGTTAAAAGTAAGATACATACTCTAGGCGGCACTTAATTCCAACATAGGGAACTTCAGAATCAGCACTGACTGCCATGCCTCTAAACAAGCTTGCCCAGCAGGTCTGTGTCAACATCAATTGATATTGAGTCTATGTGTGTCTATGCGGGACTGTGTTCGTGTAAATCAGGATACCAAGCCAAGAGCTATTTTCCCAGATCCTTGCGAACAAACGGATATTTCTACTCCTCCTCGTCTCATTATTGATCAATAATAAATATACTTTGTGGGGTCTGCCACGCCTCATTCTGCAAATTACATGTACACTCGTATACCCTTTGTTTACAAGGTATAAAAAGCTGTTAAATAGAACTCTTCATTTAAGCAATTGACAATAGAGATTTTCTGCTTTTTACTTCTTTCGGTCCACTTCTTCTAGCGGTCCCAATTCACTATTTGACCAAATGGAAGCAGCTCATGGTAGATGGTATCCTTGCGATCACAGCAAATGCACAGCAAAACCTTTCTCAGTTGGTTATCCTAGTCTTGGCCACCATTTGAGCCACTTAAACGAGCTTTGACTAAGATGTGCCATTCTCTATCTGTTTTAGAAATGGATTGATTTAATTTTGTTTGTCAAACGATGTATTGAATGAGGCTTGCTCGATCACGTCGTGTACCATCCGTGCATCGACCATCAATTATTGGATATTTGTGGAAATTTCCATTCATATTATTTTGTCCAATTGTCTTTTTAGTAGGGAGCTGGAGAAGAACCATTTGTAAAGCACTGTAACCACTTATTTGTACAAATTCATAATATTGTTACAAATTGCTTTCGCAAATCGATAAGACCTGCCCAGCGTTGCAAATAAAAATAATTTTGCAGTACATTGCAATTAGATTTGTCATCGAGTAAAATATGAAGTTCAAATCACGAACCTTTGTCCGATGTAATTAATATAAATAACCAATTTGTTAATTCAATTGAATAAATGAAAACTCTTTGGAATCAAAACGAAATTGG